TTCAACAGTTTGGCTGTGTCGCAACCCAAATATTATCTTGAATTGTTTTTTTTTTTTTTTTTTTTTTTTTTGAGAAGGAGTCTCGCTCTGTCGTCCAGGCTGGAGTGCAGTGGCCGGATTTCAGCTCACTGCAAACTCCGCCTCCCGAGTTTACGCCATTCTCCTGCCTCAGCCTCCCGAGTAGCTGGGACTACAGGCGCCCGCCACCTCGCCTGGCTAATTTTTTTTTTTGTATTTTTAAGTAGAGACGGGGTTTCACCGTTTTAGCCAGGATGGGCTCGATCTCCTGACCTCGTGATCTGTCCATCTCGGCCTCCCAAAGTGCTGGGATTACAGGCTTGAGCCACCGTGCCTGGCCATTATCTTGAATTGTAATCGCCATATTCTCCACGTGTCTAGGGAGAGAGCTGGTGGGAGGTGACTGGATCATGGGGGATGTTCTCCCATGTGGTTCTCATGATAGTGAGTGAGTCCTTACAAAATCTGATGGTTTCATAAGGGGCTCTTCCCCCTTCACTCCTCTGTCTCTTGCCTGCCACCATGTGAAGAAGGTGCCTGCTTCCTTGCTTCCCCTTCTGCCATGATTGTGTTTCCTGAGGCTTCCTTAGCCATGTGGAACTGTGAGTTAATTAAACCTGCTTCCTTTATCAATTACTCAGTCTCGGGTATTATCTTTATAACAGTGTGAGGATGGACTCATACACCCTCTTCCCCAGCTTTGCAGTCTCCTTAAGAACTAACAGCCCTGCCACCTCTGGAGGGGGAATAGGAGGGCAGAAGGGGTTTGATGCTGTCTCAAAACACCATTCTCAGATCATCACCATTCTTTGACTTATCAGGAAGTTCTCTGGGAACCTCCATTCACAGGGCTTTTAAACATTTTACCTGGTTCTGATGCCAGTAGGCTGAGGGAGGCCCCCAAAAGCAGGTGGCACCTTGACCCCAGCCAGTGTCCAGGATGTTGACATCATCGTGAGAAGGAATTCAAGGATGAGTCAGAAAACAGGGAAAGCGTGGAGATTTATTGTAAAGGGAAAACTAAAAAAAAAAAGGGGGAGAGTGTGCATACTCAAGAGAGAGTCTTACAGTGGGTTTGCGGTTTCTATCTTCATGAGTTTCTTTCACCAAAGCGGTGGAATATTCATGAAGATTCCTGGAAAAAGGTAGAGATTTCTTGGAACTCTGGTGCCACTCATTTTTACACCAAATACAGGTGTTCCCAGAACTGTCATGGTACTGGTGGGCATGTGATTGAGTATGTTAATGAGCATATAATGAATTCCTAGGAGAAACCTAGGTCAAATCCGGTGCCATGTTGGGTCCAGTCAGTCTTAGCCAGCTTGGTTCACACCCTGGCTCAGTCCCTAACTTCTGCAGCTATTCTGATGTTTCCTTTTGCTTAGTCATGTGAAACTACTGCCTGGAATATTCTGTTCTCTTGTGACCACCCTGTATTATTCCTGTCTCAACTCAGTTTCCATCAATTCCTGAGGCATTTGTCAAAAACAATCAGGGGGCTTGGTGTGGTGGCTCATGCCTGTAATCCCAACCCTTTGGGAAGCCAAGGTAGGAGGATTGCTTGAATCCAGGAATTTGAGACCAGCCTGGGCAATATGGCAAGACTCTGTCCCCACCAAAAAACCAAACAACAAAAACAATCAAGGATGATTGTTTAATATTGCAGTTGCCAGAGCCAGGGACAACAGTTGAGACCAACTCAAAAGCTGACCAAAAATCTTAAAGGAAAATTTGGGGAATGAGATATGAAATGTGAAAGGGAAGTAAAAACTTGGGACCCCACTTCACTCGGCCAAAAGGAAAAAATTAATCTGAAAGCTGAGTCATGCAAGAAGCTGCCTTTTCTTTTGTTCCTAACCAGATAGCTACAGATAAAAGGTTAAATATCTTTACAGGTAGCTACTCTATGTTCACGTTATCTTATATGATGTGCTGATTTACTGAGAGTGAGAGGAATATATAATTGACTCTTCCCCTACCGTTCCTTTTCTCTTGCAACGTGTGGATGACCATGCCTTCCCTCTTTCCCCTCCAGTCCACTTTGCCCCTTTAAACATTGAAGTGCTCAAATTCGTCTTTGGAGAAAGGCACAGACCACAGACTGCTTCTGTGATTCTGTGTTTTTTTCTTCCAGGAATGTCCTTAAACTTGGCCAAATAAACGTCTAAATTGATCGAGACCTGTCTCAGATATACTTTTTGCTTTACCCCATTGAGGGCTTTGGAAAGTTGCAATATGTTCCTGAGAATCTGGACTGCTCTGCACACCTGTGTGACATATTCTCCTTTATTTAAAGTCAACTGATTATGAACAGCAATCACATCCACCAAATACCTTCATGGCAACACCTAGTGTTTGATTGAGTAACTGGGGACCAGAGACTAGTCAAGTTGACACATAAAACTGATCATCACAAGACAGAACAGAGCCATATAGGAACAGAGCTATACAGGAACATTATAAACAAAATGTTTATATAGCATTGAAATCGGTATTAATCATCCTTGGGGCAGAGCTCAGCATACCTCCCACCATCCCACTGGTATGCCCCAAAGCCCATTCATGACTCTACATGTGAAAGTACTGAGAGATAAATGGGCATGATATATGCAACCTATTCTCCAAAGGTTCCAGGAAAATAATTATGTAAACATATACACAGAGAATGATAAAGCAAATGTGACAAAATATAAAGCATTGTTAAATCTGGCTAGTACATACACAGGAATTCTTTATGGATCCTTGTGACTTTTCTGTAAGTTTGAAATTATTTCAAAATAAAACTTTTTAGAAAATGTCCACAAAAAGCTTTGTAGAAGAACATTAATATCACCTTCATTAAAAGTAGCCAAGGCTGGGTACCGTGGCTCATGCTTATAACCCCAGCTCTTTAGGAGGCCAGGAGTTCAAGAACAGCCTGGGCAACATGGCAAGAACCTGTCTCTACAAAAAACAAAAAACAAAACACATACACACACACACACACACACACACACATGTGGGGTATGGTGGCATGTGCCTGTAGTTGCAGCTACTTGGAAGACTGAGGCAGGAGGATCACGTTAGCCCAGGAGGTCCAGGTTGCAGTGAGTGGTAATCACGCTGCTGCACTCCAGCCTGGGTGACAAAAGGAGACCCTATCTCAAAATAAATAAATAATTTAAAAAGGGAAAACAGTCCTACTCCTGTATTTAAAAAATGAAACACCTTAGAAAATGGTTTTTTTGTTCGTCTGCTTGTTTGTTTTGAGACGGAGTCTCCATCTGTCGTCAGGCTGGAGTACAGTGACAGGATCTTGGCTCACTGCAACCTTCGCCTCCTGGGTTCAAGCGATTCTGCTGCCTCAGTTTCCCGAGTAGCTGGGACTACAGGCATGCGCCACCACACCTGGCTAATTTTTTTGTATTTTTAGTAGAGATGGGGTTTCACCATGTTGACCAGGATGGTCTTGATCTCTTGACCTCGTGATCTGCCTGCCTCGGCCTCCCAAAGTGCTGGGATTACAGGCATGAGCCACTGCGCCCGGCTGTAAATAGTTTTTTTAACTGGAAAAAATCTGCATTTTAAGATATTTGCTGAGCCTGTAATCCCAGCTATTAGGGAGGCTGAAGCCCAGGAGGATCACTTGAACCTAGGAGTTTGATGCTAGCTTGGGTAACAGGGCAAGACCCTGTCTCTAAATCTATCATCTATCTATCTATCATCTATCTATCTATCTATCATCTATCTATCTATCTATCTATCTATCTATCTATCTATCTATCTATCTATCTATCCATCCATCCATCTATCAATCATCTATCTAATTTGCTGATAATGAATATAGCTAAGATTTATTGAAGATTTATATACCAGACACTGGGCTAAGCTTTACCTACTTCTAGTGTCTAATCCTCACAACCACCCTGTAATGTAGATATTTATGCCCATTTTACAGATGAAGAAACAGACTGAGGGAAGTTAAGTAATTTGCCCAAGGTCTTGCAATTAGTAATCAGCACAGCAGGAAAGCCAAACCTGGTTTCCCTGTTGCCTGAGCCAGGCCTCTTGATCGGTTACTACATTCTACTAAAAAGGACCTTAATTTCCCTGCCCCGCCCCCCAGCTTCTGAGACACACAAATACCCACACAAGTTATTTTACTGGAGAGGCCTTTTAAGGACGATCCTCTCTAATTATAATTTTTACTTCTTCTGAGAGTCAATCAGGTTAATATAAATGGCTAATCTCTAGAAATAGAATGTTCCACTTTCATTTAAAAGCATTATTTTGCTCCACTAGACAACATCTCTTTATTTTCCCTGAATTAATCTTTCTTTGACCATGGCACTGGCTTTTGTTTTCAAGTGTGTTGTCCTCTCCGTTACACCCTTCCTCCAAAGAAAATCGATGAGCTACTTGCTTAGGATTTCAGGTAGAATAAAAACAAAAGAAGGCAAGAATTGTCTAAATTTAAAGTGCTGGAAAATCCAACATTTTATTTACTACATTTTGGTGACTACATAAATGCTGAAACATTTTAACACTGAAAAGCATGATGGCATCATCACTTGCTTTTTTTTCTTTTTTTCTTTTTTGCTTAGCAAACACAGCAGATGATATTGCACGGCATAAAGTGAGAACAGTAGCGAAGCTTAAAATAAATGAAAGAAACCTTAATGCAGTACAGGAGATACTCAGAAACAAACCAGAATAATGCCTAATGCATTACACGTTTTTGTTGCTACACACAAAAATACAGAAGAAGCATTGGACAGAGAGAAAGAGAGAGAGACAAAATATTAGCAAACAACCATAACTGGGTACAATAATCATTTAGTCTGAAATGTAGATGCAACGTAGAAACTACCACTGTTTTCTAATTGACAAAGAATATGACAGCAACATTTGTCTTTTATCAAAAAATCTTCTAAGCCCCTCATGGTTAGGGTTTTAATTAATTATTTAATTATATGTTTACCCTTTTTTTTTTTTTTTTTGTCTTTTTTTTCATTGTTAAGGAAGAACTCCCTCTGCTCGTGGAAGATTTTCTACTCTACTGATCTTTTTTATTTTATTTTATTTTTACCTGATGATTGTCTTAGGCACCCTCCTTACGTAATAAACCATCAAGCTAACTTGAACAGGGAAACTGAGTCACACTCAAACAATAGCTAAGGTCAAAAGTGTAGTGAAAATAGAAAAAGGGGGAAGGGATAGGTCTAAGTGAGTGACAGATAGGCTGATTCAGACAGGACAATAAGCACAGGGAGATATGAAGACAACTACCAAAGCAAGTGGAAGACAAGGTTTTCAACTTTATTGTATTGAAAAATACTTGTCACTTGGTTCAGATAGCAAATCTAAAATGAGCCCACAATGATTATGTAATAAATGCAGAACATACCACAACAAATCGAGACTAACATGGAAACGGGTGTGACCTTGTGAATACAACGCCGCTCAGCGCTTCACTGCTCAACCATTGTCCTAGGTTTCCATAACTCATCGCACAGCATTGGTATTAAAAACAAATAATTGGTCAATGCTTTCTAACAGCACACTGAGTGATCCTGCAACCCAAAGCAGATTTATTGCCCTATTAAAACACATAATGAGTATAAAAATGCTCCTAAGAAAATGTAACATTTGACCTGAAGTCTAAGCCCTCTCTTTCCTTTCCTATCACAAACACCCCTGTGGAGGGGGGAAAAAAAAAAAATAAGGCAAAATTTGTATGTTGAGAGGGAAAGTATTTACATCTATGGGTTTATGACGTGTAGTCAGAGCAACTTCTTTCAGCAAAATAAAACAAAATAGTGGGCACCGGCTCTTCTGAGGATGCCACTGTCAGTTGAGAATTCCGTGTGTGTGCTCATCACAAGTAGGGCCAAGTATCTGAACTGCCTCCATGAAGGGAGCTGAGGGCAGGGATCATCTCTAGTGCAGAAAAGAAACAGTCGGAAGATGAAGAGTGAGTGGAGACAAACTCAGAGAGGCATGGAGTACATTCACCCCAGGACCCTGACATTTGAGGATGACTCCTGTGACTTTGGTAGGGATGTGTGGGGAGAGGAGGGGCAGTCGTGAGTAGCAGATTCCAAGAAACTGATGTGGAGAGGGATGTGTAACTTTGATTTTTCCCTTAAATTCTATTGATAATTGAGGCCAAGCAATCGTGTTTTGCATCTACTGTGGACTGGCCAGAGGGGAAGGGGCTAGGTCAAGCTGCTCTCCGGCCTTGACTTTCTGTCTAAGGGCATGAGGCCATTACACTCTCCTCTCAGCTTTGCAAAAGGAACTGTGTCTCCACGCCCTGCCCCCTGCCTTGAAGCAATTCAGAAACTTGGGAAAACCTAGAGGATTTCCAAATTCAAGTTAGCTTGTCTTTTTGAGTGTTTACACTCTACTTCTCATACCCGTGCGAATGGTTAAAAAAAAAAAAAAAAAAAGTAGCAAAGTATCTCACAAATGCCGGTGCTTTGAAATATTTAAAAAGTCTTAAATTCTTTGGAATTTCAGGTCTTACCTGCAAAGTAATCTTTTCTAAAAAAATTAATAAATTAAAGGAAGAACACGAATAATGCCTTTCATTCTAAATGACAAAAAGGACTATCTTGAAACACTCACTTTGGCATGTACAAGTTTCTGAGGGGGGACCTGGCAGTGTTTACAGCACACATTGAAATACCTACTAAGAAAAAGCTAAAGATACACCCTGCAGTTAAGAGAAGCTCTTGCCTTCAGCTTATCTTAGCATCGAGAACAAAAAGATTGTAACATAAAGCTTTGGCCATTTCGATTCTACTATATACATTTTAAAAACTACACAGTCATAAATTAAAGCAATGATTAAATAAGCTCATATAAAATGTAATTAAATTAAAAAAAATCACAGCACGTTATAGAGAAAAATAGGAACCAGCTTCACAAAAAAGAGATTTTATATATTTATATATATATATATGTATTTTTTTTTTTTTTTACCCTGTGGAAACAAATTTTCTACGGAACACAAAAACTTCATAAGTAACCATCAAAACAAAAATCATTTCTTATTCCATTCTTGCTTTTTTACACAACCCTTAACTCACCGGGGGGAACATTTCCAGAAATTAAGTCTTCCTTGAGCAACAGAGCAGTTCTGCCAAGAAAATAAACCCCAAACCAAAGGGGAGGGGGGACATCCCAAACATACAAACTACAAAATAAATAAGAATTATAAAGTTTTTTTTTAAAGTAACCTTAACAATTATCAAACTAGTAAGTTCTGCCTTATCACATAGACTCTCTATACAACATAACCCTAAAACGTTATTACTATGAGGTATTTGGAGGAATTGGTAAAAGTTACGCACGGCCTGCCTGGTGGAGGGACAGGTGAAGTCAGGTGGGGGGAACTTGAGAGGGAACGAGGAGGAGGAGCTTTGGTTTATCAGCAAGAAATTGGGGAAAAAAAGTCATCCTTTGGTATCAAAGAAAGTTTCATTGCATGGTTGCACGGAAAAAGCACCACGGTGAATAATTATTCCTTTTTTTTTTTTTTTTTTATTAGTGGCCTTTCTAAGGGGCTGAGGTATTCAAAGAGTATAAGGTGAAAGAGGTCAACAGCGGTTTAACACTTTGGTTCAAGCAAGGCACTCGTCCTAGGAGTTTACAAAGTTTGCAACATGTTTGCCTAGAGATTTACAAGTAGAACTAGCAGTAATAAGAGTAGTATTTCCTAATGTTGTTGTTGTCATTATCGTATCATTATTAAGAATGAAGACAAGTTTACACACTGAGTGAAGAGTGAGGAAGGGTGGTGGGGGAAGGGAAGGGGCGGAGTTCCCTCTGCAGACTGAGACCGTGCATGAAAATATCTTTGGTATTCTTTGGTATCATCAATGTGATTAAAATCACCAATGGAAATTGAGTGAGGTAGCGTCTTTGGTTCACACTATAAATAGTAGATCTTTACACTTTTTTTTCTTTTTTTCTTTCTTTTTTTTGTTTTTTTTTGTTTGTTTGTTTTTTGTTTTTTTTTTTTTTTTACACGTGGAAGTAGCTATTTTTTTACCTTCTGCTTCTTTGTCCTTACTATTTAGGAAGTAGTTACCAAATGTACTGTAAAGCTAACCACACCACAGTAATAACCCAGAAGGCCAAACACGTCTCAAGACAGCCTCTGGTGTTTGAATGCACCCTAAACAACTAGATAGAAAAAGGAGAAGTGCTTTCTCTTTGTTTGCTAAATGCATAGTTTTCATCCTTTATGTACAAAGAAGGGAGGACCTTTCTTAGGGAAAATGCCTTTACAGCTCATGTGAAAATGTCCTAGGACTCTTTGGTATAGCAAAGTTTGCATTTAACCTGCAACTACGGTCATTCACCTGGGGTAGCAATGGGAGTGGAATGAATCCAAAAGTAGTGTAGTGCTTTTATATTTTCCTGGAAAAATAATTTCGCTTTTTTTTTGCGGGGGCACAGTGAGTGACATGTTCATTTAGAACTTCTGGATTTCCCACACATTTTCTTTGGTCTTTGGAGTCTATTCCAGCTGCATCCGGGGACTGGAATACTCAATTCCTGACATCCAGAGTTCTTTTACCTGAACATTTATTGACGTCTGGGGTTTTGGGGTGTCCAGATGTCACACCTCCCTGCCCTCTACAGGAAAGCTTCCAGTGATGACAGGACCTGAATGACTTATGGCCAGAAACAGACTAACTTCCATTCTGGCCTTTCTAAGAGGCTGAGGTATTCAAAGAGTATGTATGTTGAGAGGGAAAGTATTTACATCTATGGGTTTATGACGTGTAGTCAGAGCAACTTCTTTCAGCAAAATAAAACAAAATAGTGGGCACCGGCTCTTCTGAGGATGCCACTGTCAGTTGAGAATTCCGTGTGTGTGCTCATCACAAGTAGGGCCAAGTATCTGAACTGCCTCCATGAAGGGAGCTGAGGGCAGGGATCATCTCTAGTGCAGAAAAGAAACAGTCGGAAGATGAAGAGTGAGTGGAGACAAACTCAGAGAGGCATGGAGTACATTCACCCCAGGACCCTGACATTTGAGGATGACTCCTGTGACTTTGGTAGGGATGTGTGGGGAGAGGAGGGGCAGTCGTGAGTAGCAGATTCCAAGAAACTGATGTGGAGAGGGATGTGTAACTTTGATTTTTCCCTTAAATTCTATTGATAATTGAGGCCAAGCAATCGTGTTTTGCATCTACTGTGGACTGGCCAGAGGGGAAGGGGCTAGGTCAAGCTGCTCTCCGGCCTTGACTTTCTGTCTAAGGGCATGAGGCCATTACACTCTCCTCTCAGCTTTGCAAAAGGAACTGTGTCTCCACGCCCTGCCCCCTGCCTTGAAGCAATTCAGAAACTTGGGAAAACCTAGAGGATTTCCAAATTCAAGTTAGCTTGTCTTTTTGAGTGTTTACACTCTACTTCTCATACCCGTGCGAATGGTTAAAAAAAAAAAAAAAAAAAGTAGCAAAGTATCTCACAAATGCCGGTGCTTTGAAATATTTAAAAAGTCTTAAATTTTTGGAATTTCAGGTCTTACCTGCAAAGTAATCTTTTCTAAAAAAATTAATAAATTAAAGGAAGAACACGAATAATGCCTTTCATTCTAAATGACAAAAAGGACTATCTTGAAACACTCACTTTGGCATGTACAAGTTTCTGAGGGGGGACCTGGCAGTGTTTACAGCACACATTGAAATACCTACTAAGAAAAAGCTAAAGATACACCCTGCAGTTAAGAGAAGCTCTTGCCTTCAGCTTATCTTAGCATCGAGAACAAAAAGATTGTAACATAAAGCTTTGGCCATTTCGATTCTACTATATACATTTTAAAAACTACACAGTCATAAATTAAAGCAATGATTAAATAAACTAGTGGACAAGAATTTTAAAATAATTATTACAAATGTGCTCAGTGGCTTAAAAGAAGGTATAATCATAATAAAAAGAGATTTTATATATTTATATATATATATATGTATTTTTTTTTTTTTTTTACCCTGTGGAAACAAATTTTCTACGGAACACAAAAACTTCATAAGTAACCATCAAAACAAAAATCATTTCTTATTCCATTCTTGCTTTTTTACACAACCCTTAACTCACCGGGGGGAACATTTCCAGAAATTAAGTCTTCCTTGAGCAACAGAGCAGTTCTGCCAAGAAAATAAACCCCAAACCAAAGGGGAGGGGGGACATCCCAAACATACAAACTACAAAATAAATAAGAATTATAAAGTTTTTTTTTAAAGTAACCTTAACAATTATCAAACTAGTAAGTTCTGCCTTATCACATAGACTCTCTATACAACATAACCCTAAAACGTTATTACTATGAGGTATTTGGAGGAATTGGTAAAAGTTACGCACGGCCTGCCTGGTGGAGGGACAGGTGAAGTCAGGTGGGGGGAACTTGAGAGGGAACGAGGAGGAGGAGCTTTGGTTTATCAGCAAGAAATTGGGGAAAAAAAGTCATCCTTTGGTATCAAAGAAAGTTTCATTGCATGGTTGCACGGAAAAAGCACCACGGTGAATAATTATTCCTTTTTTTTTTTTTTTTTCATTAGTGGCCTTTCTAAGAGGCTGAGGTATTCAAAGAGTATAAGGTGAAAGAGGTCAACAGCGGTTTAACACTTTGGTTCAAGCAAGGCACTCGTCCTAGGAGTTTACAAAGTTTGCAACATGTTTGCCTAGAGATTTACAAGTAGAACTAGCAGTAATAAGAGTAGTATTTCCTAATGTTGTTGTTGTCATTATCGTATCATTATTAAGAATGAAGACAAGTTTACACACTGAGTGAAGAGTGAGGAAGGGTGGTGGGGGAAGGGAAGGGGCGGAGTTCCCTCTGCAGACTGAGACCGTGCATGAAAATATCTTTGGTATTCTTTGGTATCATCAATGTGATTAAAATCACCAATGGAAATTGAGTGAGGTAGCGTCTTTGGTTCACACTATAAATAGTAGATCTTTACACTTTTTTTTCTTTTTTTCTTTCTTTTTTTTGTTTTTTTTTGTTTGTTTGTTTTTTTTTTTTTTTTTTTTTTTTACACGTGGAAGTAGCTATTTTTTTACCTTCTGCTTCTTTGTCCTTACTATTTAGGAAGTAGTTACCAAATGTACTGTAAAGCTAACCACACCACAGTAATAACCCAGAAGGCCAAACACGTCTCAAGACAGCCTCTGGTGTTTGAATGCACCCTAAACAACTAGATAGAAAAAGGAGAAGTGCTTTCTCTTTGTTTGCTAAATGCATAGTTTTCATCCTTTATGTACAAAGAAGGGAGGACCTTTCTTAGGGAAAATGCCTTTACAGCTCATGTGAAAATGTCCTAGGACTCTTTGGTATAGCAAAGTTTGCATTTAACCTGCAACTACGGTCATTCACCTGGGGTAGCAATGGGAGTGGAATGAATCCAAAAGTAGTGTAGTGCTTTTATATTTTCCTGGAAAAATAATTTCGCTTTTTTTTTGCGGGGGCACAGTGAGTGACATGTTCATTTAGAACTTCTGGATTTCCCACACATTTTCTTTGGTCTTTGGAGTCTATTCCAGCTGCATCCGGGGACTGGAATACTCAATTCCTGACATCCAGAGTTCTTTTACCTGAACATTTATTGACGTCTGGGGTTTTGGGGTGTCCAGATGTCACACCTCCCTGCCCTCTACAGGAAAGCTTCCAGTGATGACAGGACCTGAATGACTTATGGCCAGAAACAGACTAACTTCCATTCTACCAAAAAAAAAAAAAAAAAGGATTACTTTAAGTGCAGTTTTGGAATAAACACACATACAAATAAAACAGTAAGATAGATACCTTTTTCTGGTGAATTTTGCAAAAAAATTGAGAAATGATGGGTGAACAAATGGCACATGATTGGCTCTGTGGAATGTAGATTAAAAAACTCAAGCCAGAATTTAATGTTACACTCAATAGGAATGGAAGCATTGTGTTTTTTTTCTATATGCCAGTTCAGGAGCAAGTAAAGAATCGGTCATACATGATGTAATAAGTGTATTGCTTGTGAGAAGCTGAGTTTTGTCCATCACGATTTCTAAAAAGCAAACGATGTGAGTATGCTTAAACAGTCGAGTAAAAAAATTGCTTTTCAGGCTCTGATTTGTGCATCTGTTTATGAGAAAATATATCTCTAAGCCCTGAAATTGCATAATGGGTGCAAATTCAATGCTGGTATGAAAGTTATCTTTGGTGTTAGCAAACAGGATAACTGGTGAGTTTCTTAAAAAACCATTATGGTGGGATACTGAAAATGAAGCAATATTCTATGAGACTGTGCCTACACAGTACCAAAATAATTGGTCAAAAATGCAACATGGGCCAGGTGCAGTGGCTCATGCCTGTAATCCCAGCACTTTGGGAGGCCGAGGCGGGTGGATTACCAGAGGTCAGGAGTTCAAGAGCAGCCTGGCCAACATGGTGAAACCCTGTCTCTACTAAAAATACAAAAAAATTAGTCAGGGGGCGTGGGTGGGCGCCTGTATATGCAACTGGCTTGGGAGCGCTGAGGCAGGAGAATCAACTTGAACTCGGGAGGTAGAGTTTGCAGTGAGCTGAGATCACGCCACTGCACCTCAGCCCTGGGTGGACGGAGTGAACTCTGTCTCAAAAAAAAAAAAAAAAAAAAAAAAGGTAACATGCGTGTTGGATTGATTTTGGGGTTAAACTATAGTAACAACAAATAAAAAACATGGTTGTCTGAATTTCTGCTTTTTCTTTTCTTGGAGTATTGAATTTGGTAAGATTGTGTGTTTAGACACAGCTTGGAATTTCCTGCATTTAGAATTATCACGTTTTAGATAAACAAGGCTTTCCTCCCTCCTAAATTATAAATACATTATGTAGCTGTGTTCCCCCCGGCCTCCCTCATTCCTGGAGAGAGAGAAAATGTTAATCAGTTTTTTCCTTTTTGTTTACGTCATTGACAAGATTCTATTTTTTAGTAAGATCTTGAAGGGTGCCATATTTAAACGGTCCTCTTTCAATAGCTGAACTATAATTGTGCCATATTTAGAAGGGAAAAATTTTAAAGCTGGAATTGTGGGTGAAATTTTTAAAAAAGACAAAACATTGTCAAGGCAAATGCAGTATTTCGTCTAAAAAGAGAAGTATATGTTTGGTTTCCTCTTCTCATTCGCAAGCAGACATGAAGGAGACACAGATAGATGGCTTGTTCGTTTTGCTTCACCTCTCTAGTTGCCTGCCTGTTTACAGATCTAGACAAGGTGCCTGAGATTTGAATGCTAAGGAGTTAGTGTTTTGTGTCAAGATGGTTCAGTTTTATTCTTTGGCATTTTTAATGAATCTCAATAAACAACTTATCATTAGGATAACATTTAATTTTATATGTTCTAAGTAAGGGGTGGTAATTAACTAAGAGTATCCAATTCTTTACCTAATGGCATAATAAGGCATCCACTTACATAAGTTACAGTCCAACTGAATTCAGAGAGAATTTTTCTGGGATCTAGTCATTCGCTGGGGTACCACTAACACAACTTCTTTTTTTTTTTTTTTTTTTTTTTGGCTTTGATTTCTACAGTTCTGGTTAAGTGATTTGGAAAAATAGAGATTTAAAATTTTGTATTTGTAAGCTCAGGTCTAGTTTTTAATCTGTCCCTGTTAGAGAGTAAAATCTATATTATAAAATTTCCAGCTTAATGCAGTAGCAAGAAAGAATGCAGAATGCTTTGGAGGCTATTCTTAGTTCAATAAATTGATTAATGCCAATAGATCAAAAGTCTTGTCATCCACCAGAACACTGGCTTTTTCTATGCAGTTCCACCAATTCTACCATTTCTGCTGTTTTACTGATGTCCAAGTGATAAAATTTCTGGAATTGGCAATAAGTTAGTTTGATTACTTTTTAGGATACTTATAAGTACTGAATAGTTCATTTGAATAATCATTTTTTTTTTTTTACTTTATTTGTATTTGTAAAGTATTTAAAAGAGGTTTTTGGTGCCAAATGCATAAAGCAAATATAAGTCAATTAATCTAAGGATAGTTCTTCATTTAGTGACCTTTTATAAAAAGCATTACTTTGAACGAATTTTCTAATTTAGTTACTTTCCCTGTTAAACTTAGTTTTCTAGTGTAAAAATGGGGTCCTACTTTGGAAAGATCCTCAGGTTTTCTCAGCTAGGAACAGATTATGGAATCATGTCTATCTCTCTACTTTAGTGACATTTATGGATCCTGAAAAGGAGTGTGCCATCTGGATGTACACGTGTACTGCATCGACCTCTCTGCCATGATATTAATTGCTTCCCTGAAGCTACATTCTTTCTTGCCAGTTCTGAAAACTCATATTTCAAATGCTTCAAGAGTCATAAATAATAGTCATGATTCTATGTGGCATGTGTATTACAGCTAGATCAGTTCATACGTATAACTTTACATAGTATCTTGTGTAAAAATAGCTTTGGTTATTAAAATCATTGCAATAAAATACCTGCACTATAATATTAAGTGTGTTCTTTGGTACCTAGGTGATTTTTTAAATGGATGGACTCTTGTTTCATTTCTTAAAAAATATCTGAACATTCCTTAACAAACAAAGAGAATGCACTGGTTTAGGTGTCATTCAAATTTTCTTTGCTGGGTTTGAATCTGCATTTAGGTTGCGGGCCTGGCAGGTTCAAACGCTAGGCTAGACGAGCAAAATCACTAATCCAATGAACTCAGACAACCCCATACCATGTTGGTTGCACTCCTATAGCACAACCATTTCTGAAGACCAGCTCTGCCTAAGTCTCTAATCACTGGTGGTGGTGGTTGTGTGTGTGTGTGTGCGTGTGTGTGTACGTGCACGCACACACACATGCACACACACCCACACACAGTACTGAGACATCATACACCTTCGTGGCATGGTAGAACAGATGAGAAAGTTCGATCTTAAAAGATGTCCGCTCAATGGCTCAAAATCACTATGCTCCAAACCACTAAACAGCCAAGCACAGCGAGGATGGTCATGGATTGAAGGTGTGAGATCCAGTGGTGTTTTCCTGCTCATCATTTGTCTTGCCAAGTCGCCGCCCCGCTGAAGTGTGTGTCTCCAAACAAAGTCAGAATGCAGGTGAGCTAAGTCTTTGGTTTCTTTGGACTATAAATAACACTTTTTTTTTTCTTCAAATATTTCTAAGTATAAACCTGCTATCTTGAGGTCCTGGTCTTTTAAAAATTTTTTTTTAAATTTAAAGCTTTTCCACCGAGGTTTTAGTTTGTGGTTCTTCCTTCATGCTTTGGTACAAGTGCTTGATGAAGAAGATGAGTTGCCTGAATTGGAGCTGCCCTCGTCCTGCCACTTGTCCAGACTCCTCCTCCTTGCGTTCATGAAGAAGTTGCTGACAGTGCTCAACTCCAACCCCAGCTGCTGGGAAATGGTGATTTGCAATTCTTTGGATGGACGCTTATTTTCCTTGAATATTGCATGTAGAGTTCGACGCTGGACATCTGTGAAGACCAACCTGGGCTTTTTGGGTGTGTTGCCTCTATCCTTCCCATGTTCTTGTTCTTTCCTTTTACATGCTGTGAAGAAACACAGAAGATGTTAGAACAAATGATCTAGGGGAGAATCAAGAGTAAGAAAGACAGAGCTCATAAAAATTTGTTAGCCATTCCTCATGGCCTGCTTTCTGTTTGCTGACCTCTGCTTTAAGCACCATGGGGGGCTGGGAGGAAAGTGTAATAAGAGAATGGAGAATTGGGATATAGGTGAAGTTCTGTGAGGCCTGGACATGGGTTGTGGCTTTGATGAGTATTTGCTCTTTGTCCTGGGTGAGTCAGTTAACTCCATCTGGGCCTCAGATTCCTCACCTATAGAATGTAAGTTTCTGGCTAAATGAACTTATCACTTTGAACTTTTGTTTCTTTATCTGCAAAATGCATATAAGAATACCCACCTTGCCGTGTTGTGGTATGAAATAGTGTACGTAAAAGTTTATGCTAACTTTACAAATGCAATGCCTTGTCAGCAAGAAGCAGTTGTAGCCCTCAAAGGGTTTATAGTCTGCTGCCCGTAGAATATTAAGAGCCTAATCAGAGTCTGAAAACATAGTAGAAAGGAATTGCATTTGTTTCCCTTCTGATCTTTTTTATTTTCCAGGAAAATCTGTATATAAGAAAGTTCAGTATATAGTTTTTTATCATGGCCATCAGTCTTCTACCGATTTTCTAGTGGAACTGGGAACTGTGGAGGTGTGAACCACTCTTCCTCGACATTGAGACTAAACCTGCCAAGTTAGCCATGTTCATCTCTGGGTTCTCTCTGTGCCTCCTTTTTGCAAGCCATGCTCTTGGAGTCCCCCTCATCCCTTACCTGGTCTCCCACTGAGGGGCCCATTCCCTACCCATGCATGTTTGGTCCTGTATTACCAAGATGCTTTTTGGCTGCTAGAGCTATTCTAACATATCATCCCAATGCAGCCCTCAGGCCCCAGGGTTTGGCGCCAGATCAGGGTCTCTCCTGATTTTAGATGCCATAATTCTCTTTCCATCCTAATGTGGCTCACTAGTTTCCACCTGCTAAAGGACTCTCAGGGCTGCACTGGTAACAATGCACACCGCCCCTCCACCCAATCTCCACCATCAATCAATCCCCACAACCATCCACAAATAACCACATAACCCAGGTGCTCTGATATGCGAATGCAGCCTTAAGACAAGGCTCCTATGCCCTCACTGCAATCAGATTGCTGCCTCCTAGCCCTGTATGTAGGTGTTCTAGAGCTGCCACTGCCACCTTTATATCTGGCTGATTGTATCTCTCATCCCCACCATAGTGGAAGATGGATGGGGCATGCTTTGTGGTGGAGGGAGGGATTGCCACTCTTCCGTATCGCATCCCTCCCATTGCTGTCCTGCCTGTTGCTGCCCTCTGCTTCACCACATGCCTCTGTGTATTCCAGGTTCTCAATTCCTTACCTGATGGTTCACCAGCTCTGGCTAGATTCAGCCTCTGTGCTCTCCTCAGCCTCCCCCTCCCTTTCATTCCCAGCTGGGTAGATCCTGGACTTCAGAGTTCCTGTAAAACTTTAGGTGCCCATTGGTAGAAATTAGCTCAGCAACAGATCAGCTGCAGAGCTCATAGGTGAAGGCTGGAGAGGGCTCAAGGCTTTACAGTCCAATCCAGAGGGCTCCAATTTTTAAAAACAATGTGCTACTTAGTAAAAAAAAAGTTCTGAGTATATATTCCCTTATATTATTTATTTATAAACCATATACATGTGTTAGTAGACTACTGTATTGTGCACATTATAAAACATACACAATACAAAAACATTTTTTTTTTTTTGAGACAGGATCTCACCCTGTTGCCCGGGCTGGAGTGCAGTGGTGCAATCTCAGTGCACTGCAACCTCTGCCTCCCTGGGCTCAAGCGATCCTCTCACCTCAGCCTCTGGAGTAGATGGCACTACAGGTGCGTGCTGCCACACCCGGTTATTTTTTTTTGTATTTTTTATAGAGATGGGGTTTCACCATGTTGCCCAGGCTGGTCTTGAGCTCCTGGGCTCAAGCAATCTGCCCACCTGGGCCTCCCATTAGAGGTGTGAGCCACTGCCCACAGCCCACAATATTAAAATTTTTAAAGGGATAAAATAAAAATAGACATGAAATTCTCTTCTAGAGAGGCATCTGCTTGCCCAGGCTCCGGAGTGTATTCACCCCACTTACGGGGCCACTGATCCAACTATTAGTAAATATAGGAGTGAGAATTTCAGAATGAACATGAAGGGAGGGCTCAGTCATGAAAGAGAGATTTGTAGGCAAGGCAGGCCTTATGGCCTTTTGTAACATGTCCTGTAGGTCACTTGCTATGCTTCTTGCCCACCATGGGGGGCGGCATCAACCTAATGGGCAGGGTTATTAAATGCCCAACTCCCTCAGAGCCTCGCATTATATACATCCTGAGCCAGGTGAGAGTCTCCAAATAGAGTTCCTCCTCACAGGGGCCTACAGCCCTCACTGGGCACCCAGATTAAGTCCCAGAAAAAAATGACTAAAGTCAACTCCAGTTAGTTTCAGTCAGCCCCTGTAGACACAGCCTCATACAATACTGATGCCGATGGCTGAGTCATTGACTTAAAAATGAATACAAGGCCGGGCGCGGTGGCTCACGCCTGTAATCCCAGCACTTTGGGAGGCTGAGGAGGGCTGATCACGAGGTCAGGAGATCAAGACTATCCTGGCTAACATGGTGAAACTCCGTCTCTACTAAAAATACAGAAAATTAGCCGGGCGCGGTGGCGGGTGCCTGTAGTCCCAGTTACTCGGGAGGCTGAGGCAGGAGAATGGTGTGAATCCGGGAGGTGGAGCTTGCAGTGAGCTGAGATCGTGCCTCTGCACTCCAGCCTGGGCGACAGAGCGAGACTCCGTCTGGAAAAATAAATAAATAAATAAATAAATAAATAAAAATAAAATAAATAATAAATAAATAAAAAGACTTCAATGCAGGTTTTGCTCTTAAGGATGCGAGATTTAAGCAAATAACTGCATATAAGCAATTAACTACAAGAGTGTAAAAAGAGTGTACAGAGTCTACTGCTTGAAGATATTCAGGAAGGCATTATAGAGAAGGTGCTTCAGATGGGCCCTAAAGGATAAATGGAGGCTTGCTAGTGAGAGGAGTGGGAAGAGTGGGAAAGCTCGTTCCCTGCAGAGGGAGCAGCACTGTGAAGGATTGATAAGTATTAGTAGATTGGTATTTGTGAGGCAAGAGGGCACGCAAGAAGGAAAGGCTGTGGGAGATGGCTTCGTGCTTAGACAGAGATCAGATATGAATTATCTCGTAAGTAAGGAGGAGGTATGGAGAGGTATGAGTAAGGGTGTAGTGTGATTACATTTGGGCTTAGAAAAACCCCTCTGGTGGCGTTGTGGAGGGAGAACTGGAAAGCAGCAAGATTAGGAACAAGAATGCTACAGTCGGTGCTGTGGTCTACCACCCAGATCCCCCTTCAGGACTGAGGCACTCGTTCCTCCAGCTGCTGGAAGGGTTGGTGACAGGTGGCTCTCAGGTGAGGTCCATTCTTGGAATCGCCCTTGGCCAAAGGTTATGCCACCCTGGGGTGGGGTGGGGGTTTGCCCATATCTAGTGGAGTTGGGTGGGGGGGGTGTAGGAGATGGGGTTATGGAAGGTGGTGGTCTAGGAGAGTGGAAATGAGTTGGTTTAAGGACCTTCAACCCAACCCCTTGCATCAAGTGAGACAACTCTAAAGAGTCATCTGGTTCAAGAGCACTCCATATAATTGGTTGAGGGTATTTTTGCACCTACATTGCTGTTCAACTCCTCCTCCTGCCCAATCTTACTTCCTTCACCACCCCCAGGGGAGTTATTCTCCTTAACATGCTCCAAAAACTTTTCTGCTTGCGCATCTCAGAAACTCAGAGTCTGTTTTGCAGAGAAATAGACCTAAAATAGAAGTCAGAAAACCACCGTAGGGCCAGGCACAGTTGCTCATGCCTGTAATCCCAGCACTTTGGGAGGCCGAGGCAGGCAGATTACTTGAGGTCAGGAGTTTGAGACCAACCTGGCCAACACGGTGAAACCCTGTCTCTACTAAAAATACAAAAATTAGCAGGGCATGGTCGTGGGCGCCTGTAATCCCAGCTACTCGGGGGGCTGAGGCAGGAGAATTGCTTGAACCTGGGAGGCGGAGGTTGCAGTCAGCTGATATCACACCACTGCACCCCAGCCTGGGTGATAGAGCGAGACTCCATCTCCAAAAAAGAAAAGAAAACCACTGTAATGAGGACCCATAATTAGACGATGGCAGTTGAGAATGGAGAAGAACTTCTTGGGAGGTCAAATCAAGAAGGCTTACTGAGTACTTGGTTAAGAAGGTGTAGTCTGGAACACCTGCCGGGTTTCTGGTTGGATGATAGCAATGGGGCCATTAGGAAATACAGAGGGAGAATGAGTTTTATGAGGGTAGTAACCACTTCTATATGGAACAAATTGCATTGGATGTGTTTGCTGGACATTCTGTTAAAGATCTCCAATAGGTGGTTGTCCAGCAGACAGCAGGATGTATGGGATCTGGAGTTCAGGGAAGAGGTCTGGGCTAGAAATATAGACTTGGAAGTCATTAGGTCTCTGGATGGTAAATTACACAGAACACACACTCACGGGAAAGTAAATAACAGAGCACTGGGTGCAGACTTGACTTATTTATCATTCAAAAGGCAGAGCTAAGGGAAATCAGAAAGAGATATTCATCTTCCATCTAGCCGGATTGTATGTTTGAATGACTTCAGTCTGGTCCTTGGCATTTGGCAGGACTGTCTGCTGAAGCTACCCCTGAGCCAGCATTTCCCAAATGGCATCAGAAGAATGATACTCTCTCAAACACGGGTTCCTTGAAAAGATGGTTTGCAGATCAAGGACATTTAAAAAAAATCTATTATATATTGCCTCTTCCTCAGGATTCATAATATATGTAAGCACACCTAATTCTGTTTCTCAAATTTGTTTGACTCCAGAACCCTTTTTGGTGGAGACTGTCGATTAATGTCTTATACAATATTAATGT